TGTGTGTTTTTCAGTAACCTTTCCATTCAGAAAAAATAATTAACTTTTGAACTTTTTTCTCAGCACCTTTTTTATTCTATGTAGATAGGTATATTTTTTTTCAGGTTTATGAAGAAGTCGAGCATAATTTAATAATTTAGCAAAGAAACATCTGGAGAACAGAATTATTGAAACATTTGAACAATTTAGATTAAAGTGTCAGATATTAATATTTAGATTAAAAAAAATACTAGCCCCATTTTCACAAATGAAATATCTTCCCAAGTATATGCTGCTGGGAAATATTTGTTTTTCCAAACCACAACAAATTAGTTTTTCAATACAAGGCTTTCTCAGATCATCAAGAGTTATTATTGTTGGGTTTCCCTTGATCAGCCCCCCCCCCATATACCCTTTGTGCATTCTTAGCCAAGTAACCCCCTACTTTGAGTGACAATTGAAATGGAAACAGAATAATATTTGGTAGTGTATATTTGCTGTGTATTCAGATGTACTGCATAAGCATTTTAATTTAGCTTTAAAGGAGTCAAACCAATAACCCAAAGTAGTACTGGAATAATACTCCTATAGAAAAGGTAGTAATGTAAAAAGAAGTAACCACAATGTGCAAAATATACGGTGGATTATTACAAATAATTACAAGCACCATACGCTGTGTCTCTGCACCAAGCCGGTAGCCAGAAAGCTTTACCCTTTTTTTTATTTGCCCTTTTCATGAATTATAAATGTATGTACATTATATTTCTCCAACAAGATGTTACAATAATTGAGTTATCATTCATGTATTACCATGAAAGACATTACCAACAGCACTGATGTATGCAATGTTACTTTGCTTACCAAGTGCATGGACTAGAGTGACACAAGTTTAAGGAGTGCAGTAAGTAAGTATGTTTGCAAGCGGTGTTTTGTAATTTTCTTTCCATGGGTTGTAGGATGTCATGAACTATCCATGAGTGACTTATCCAGATAAACCCCTAACATATGCTTATCTCTGGTTAAAAATCCATTTTAGAGAGACAAGCTAATATCAAGTACTGTATTACAAAGAATTAGTCACCACTTTTGAATTGTTGAATTTCACAAAACAATAGTTATGGACAGAGTTGAAATGGTGCTTTTATCATGACAATACCTGTGCACAGAGCAAGGTATAAGTAACATGATGAGGCATCAATAATGATCTTAAAAAAAGGAAGGGGAAATGGTGTCAGCAGTAAAAAGACTGCTGGCCTAAGTGTATCAAAAGTTTAATTTTATACATGGAGTTTTCATTTATAGCCAAAAGTTGAATAATTCTTGATCAGATCTATGGTGATTTGAAGTGCAGATTTTGATTTGTGTATTTCTGCTGATCAAAAGCCAACTACTTCTACTGTGTTTGGCCTACAGTGATTCTGATATTATTTTTAAGTAATTGCCCGTAACTTGGTAAGCACTTAGAAATGTGGCAAATGTTATAATTTGATAACTGGAATTCCATTTGTAGGAGTACATGTTGAGTACATTACATTACATTGTATAGAAAAGTTGAGAAGAAAGGATTATATTAAAATTAGTTTACTTAACTAGTTAAGAATGTCCAAAGTCAGTAATGTTCTGCTTTGGTATGATTTAAAATCTTTTTGTGCTATGAGTCATATGCATAAGTGGATTTGGATTACAAAAACTACTAGTCTTCTCTCAAAGATTTGCTATAACCCAATGTTGCCCAGTATGACAAATTCACTGTACGAGTTTTCACTGGTTTTCAGTAGGGCAGCGTAGAATTAGTACCCTGTGTTAGGTGTGATGAATTCATCACGTATCCCTCTGTCAGAGGAGAGCACCTGGTAGCTGATTAGTTGTCTGAGGGCAGCCATGCCTAATCAATTGTTGGCCTCAACATTTGTGGATCTTGAAATTTCTATCCTTATTTTTGCAGGTTTATGATCATGTTGACAAATTTGTCATTTTTATTACAATGATAACATAATACTTTGTGTGGCTAAGGGAAGTATATTTCATCCATAAAGGGTTAATATTAATTTTGTTTGTTGCCTGAAATGTCAGTGTCTCCATTTTAAGCAAGAATTTAGGATTTTCATGTTTAGACTGGCTGTTAATGAAGTTGCAGTAGCTCTAGATCAAAACAGATTGGAAGAGGCCAGAAATGTCTTTATGCATTTAACCCATTGGTTACAGTTTAATGTATTGCCTAGTGTAGTTTTTTTGTGAATTTTGTTACATTCAGATGGCTCTACAAGTACTCACTTACCAAGGAGTCCTTCACTAGACAAAAATGACTCCATTTTTTCAAGTGCTGTTATTTTTATTGACATTTTGATAACTATTATTACCCCAGTCTTGCTGGGAAAATTTAATGTTCCCTGTAGCTTTGTTTTGGGATATAATTATCTCCACACACAGTCTCTGTGTGGTGATATGCAGCAGATATTTTCATCATTTAAAAATTTTCTGCCACATCAACATCTAATGTGTATTCAAAATATAGTGATAGGGTGCAGCTTAGGGGCTAGGCCCCCCAGTAAGAAGTTTTTTGGTTCACAAGGAAATGTTTGTGTTTGTGTGACATCAGTGGATCACACAAAATTATGACAAAGTATTGTGGTGAAAAGGGTAAAAATGATTTAACGATTAGGATAAGTGGAAAGAAGAAGGGATGAAGAAGAGAAAGAAGAGGAAAGGAGAAGAAAAGACCATGCAAAATTAGTAGAGGCATGGGCTTGAGGTTCACGGTAGGGTTAATCCCCTACATTGAGCCTCAGTCTCTGCCTCCTAAACCCCCACATGGCAACAATGAGCAAGGGATTTTTTTTTTTTTTTTTTTTTTTTTTTTTTGGGGGGGGGTCATTTTGTGGTACTTGTACTTGTACTTGTGCAGTTTACGACTATTTCTTTATGCAGCATCTGTTTCTCTCTTCTCTGTATTTTGCTCTCGGTAACATTAACCAGTATTAGTATTAGCAATTTAAAGAATTTATCTGGAAATCAAGGAAAAGGGTAAGATAGGTAGAACTGGTAATTGACTACTTGCTGATTGAGTACTTCTAGAGCCACCTATGTGTAAAAACTATACATAAACTAAACTCCTAATGGACATGGCATGTCTTTTATATGCCATTCCCCAGGATTGGGTTAATAGACTATTGATAATGAAAAATAAGAATCTTTCTGAAAATCAAGGAAAAGATAAAAAAGTGAGAAGGTAGGACTGATGATTAAGTCCTTGATGACTAGAGACTTGTAGAGCCATATATGTCAATAAACTAAAATACCATTGGACAAGGCATCAGTGACCATTGGGGTGATTTCTTAGAAAATCTTTTCTCTCCAGTTTACAAGACCTGACTAATCTAGTAAGACTCCTAAATGACTGCTTCTCTTCTTTTTTTTCATAAAAATAACATGTAATTTATCCAAAATGGTAACAGAAACTGGAGGGAAACTGTTCATGTTTATCAGAAACAAGGAGTTAGGATTTTCATGACACATAAAGCTACTGATCTTTTGAATTAGACATTTGATACAGAGATATGCTTGGTTTCTCTATGATCCAATAAAATGGTAAATCTTCATTGTTTGTTCAATACTGAACCTATTGAGCTATCTTTCATGCATATTTTGCTCCAATGCATTCTCATGAAAATAAAGGAGATAAAAAGGAATATAACTGAATGTATAGTTTACTATTGACTTAGAAAATGTGCTCCATGTTTGACAATGCTATATCAAATGAAAATACAGCAATGCTTGACTATCACAATAATATACAAATTTAATATAAAGCTAAACATATTATCCTATCATATATAATAATACAGTACTTAAGAATAAAATATCTGAATATACTGAAGAAGTACTTACATATCTTGGAATGATTGAGTATATAACAATGCAAAAAAAATATATAACATAATCATTTGCCATTCCACATAATTATTTTAGTACAGATTGTTAATTTTACTTGAATAAAATACCATATAAAGTAGTCACTTTTGGTAATAGTCACCAAATTTTATTAATGCTATGATTTATCATGCCTACTATGGAATATTTTCCCTACTACTTGAGGTAGTTTTTTTCTCTCTCTAGAAAGTCTCATGCATCATTCATAGCAAAGGCCATGCTAACATACCTTGATCATACTGAAAGCTTGCAAACCTTGTAACAAAACTATATTTATAAAAAGATAATAGATAAGTATATTTCATGATTTTTGTTTTTAATCGTTTTTGGGGTTTGTAGAGAAAACTAATAAAAATGTACTCTAGTAAAAAAAAATATATATCCATTTTCTTTAAAGAGCAATTAAATGTGTGGCATTTCAGAAATAAAAATAATAAATAATAAAATTTGTAAAGCCTTGTACAACATACCCTTAATCAAAACGAGAACAGTATCTGATATTACTAAACATGTACATGAGTCTAAATCATGCTGAAGCTTCAATATGTTTTTTTTTTTTTTCCAGAAGTTTGTGTAAAGGTTTCACCAAGCATGTCATTTGCTCAAAATGTGGACAGGACTTAATGGTACAAGACCGCCTAACAAAACTATTCAGATCATAAAAGTAAATAAAAATAATACAAATAATCTTGTGGCCATACTAGGTAGACCTAACTGTACAGAATAACTAAGTTCTATTACTAACACTTGTAGACACATGTGCAAACACACCCACATGAACATGCAAACAAATGTGGATATACACACTAAAAGTGTCCCAAAAAGACTTTGGTGTATTGTACCAGAGTCTACAAAATGGAAGCACTTAGGGGACATGATAAATCAAGATTATAATGGAATCTGAATTTACATGTTTGAAAATGAAATATTCTGTGTTCTGTATCAGGAGAAGGAAAAAAAATCTATCTTCAGTTTTGTGTTTACATGAGTAAAACTGTTTGTGAAGCCAAATGATTAAATTTTTCCTGATTATTATTTTCCAAATTGCAATGCACATGTGATACATTTATTGTTTGTAAACAGAAATGACT